ATTTAATTATAGACCTGTCTTGATGAATAATAGACTAACCAACCATGCTGAAATATAGACTAAACATTAAATTATGGACTTATGCTACCAAATAATGGATTAACCATGCTAAATTATGGACTTATAATGCTTAATATGATTTCATCATGCTGAATTGTGGTCTTACAACTTCTTATACTAAACTTAAATCATTATTTTTGAAAGTATTCTGTTAGAAGTGAAGTTCACTAATTCATATTTGTTGGCCTATCTTTATTTAACTTTTAAAAGACAATGCATGTTCATCACATAAATGCAGCACTTGTTAAGAGTAAAAAATTTGGCTTTAAATGTGAATCATTAAGTAGCTTTAAAGGGACTTCTCTGAGGATATTTGACATATTGGAACTCCAGAAATATCTTTTCACAAGATTTCTTCATACGCTTACTCTGTTTTTTAAGAATAATCATATTTGTTCTGCAAAATAACCAAAACATGACAAAACATGAAAATTGTTTAAATTCTTTTTAACTGACATTAATAGCAAAGAATTGCTCTAAATAAAGCTGTTCAATTAATTCTAAGTATATTTTTTTTATTATCTTTCTTCATATAATAAATGTTCCTGTTTTTAGTGCCAGCCCCAGTCAATCTGCGTAAGATTAGTGAGATAAGTTTATGTTATTTGGCTTTTAAAACCTCAGTTGGGCTCCTTTGACATACTATTTTGTCACCATTATAGTGCAGAAATGAGTTAACTCCTACTAAATTAAACAGGTAATCCGTTACTGCATGAGAAGTGACGATGTTACTGCGTGTGTTTATTGATCGACCCTCTCTCGATACCAATCTGAATATGTAAGATAATAGAACAAATTAGTCAGATAGATACAACCTTGGTGATGGTATAATTAGTTACAGGCAGTCTTTATGTATATGAGAAAATATTTATAATCTTTGACATCATTCCCTACAGCTTATATCTATCTACCTTCAGTAACCCACATTATTATTGTATTTTGTGCTATTATATGCGGTAATTGATGAAAAAATTAACAAGATTTTCAGTGTATTTCTTAGGAAGCTCTCCGCTGTTGTACAAATGCCTAAATATCTTAAATTTTGAATTAAATACATATTAAGAGGATATTAAATGAGTGTAATTGTTTAATACTAAATTTATTGAACAAGTTAAATAAAATAATATTATGTGAGCCTCTAATGAGCATACTATTATTTTATTCAACAAGCTCAATAAATTTAGTATTGAATCTACACAAATAAAATGTTCTATAAAATAAGAACAGTAAACTGTTAAAAAGTTGTTTTTCATTGACGTGCCTATAGTGTAACGCTAACATTAGCGCACTAAATTTAATGCTATGTTTAGGAAATAGATATCAATTCTGAGTGCATTGTTGTAGAATAATGCACGGTTTGAGTTCAAATGCGTAGTAATATAATCACGAAGGCCGATAGGCCTGAGTGATTAATTACAAAGCATTTGAACGAAAAACGTGCATTATTATACAATAATGCACGAAGAATTAATATCTATTTCCATTCTAACACGTCAAGAAAAAATACAATTATTATTATAAAGTTGGACTTTATGTTTGGCGGTTAAATTTGTTTTCGCCTCAGAGTTTCCAATAGAAACGTTCTTTAAAGGCCGTTCCAGTGGGTTGAAAAAAACTGTCGTTAAATCTTTCGTGTGTAGAAACATTTTGAGAATAACGAATTTTGAAAACGTTGATAAAACTTTGTTTGTTTATTTTATTTCAGTCTATAATTTTCCAAGCGAAATACAAATTATTAAAAGTGAAATAAATGTAAAACTTAACTCGTCTGCGACGTTAAAATAGCGTACTTGATTTTGATTGTTTTGCACGTGCTGTTTGGCGCTACATTGTGACGTCACGTAAACAACACTTTAAACGTCTGTACAGCGTTAACGACTGAATTAAAGATATTGGTGTTCGGATTTATTTTCTTAGTTAGACCATTTTCTATCATTCTAGATAGTTTTCACAACAAAATTCGACAAAAATTGTTTTTATTTATCAGATTTTTCAAACAAAATGGCGCCCTCAATGTGAAAATACACAGGGAGATAATAAGAACGGCGAGTGCATTGTTGCAGAATAATGCACGCTTCGGGCCTTCTTTGTTTATATAGAAACATTTCCGATAGTGTTAGAATTATATATAGCGCAAATGACGTCACGTCAAACTGTTATATCACACTAGTGTAATTTCGTTTTTATTAAATAGCTTTATTACAATCCTGTGCTGGGGTTTATGTGATAAAGAATGATTATGCTAAAATATGTGAATTAAAATTGATCCAATTTTTTAATGTTAAAATTTGAAATTGATGTGCATGCACTGGCTTACGCCGAGCCTATATATGTATTTACCATACTCTAGTTTGTTTTATTGCAGTATAATAACTGAAATGTACATTGTGTACATGTATGTGACCAAATTTAATTAATGTTAAACAATTGACTTAATGTTTCCCCATGCAAATTTGTTCAACTTTTGCAATTATGAGCAAAAAAATGTTGAATAATTGACTTCATGTTTTTAGTGCAAATTTTGTATGATTTGCGCATGTTTGACCAAAATAATGTTGATCAATTAACTTCATGTTTCTTGTGCAAATTTTGTGTTATTAATGTGACCAAAATGATGCTGATCAATTGACTTTATAATTATTTCTTGTGCAAATTTTGTATGATTTTTGCATGTATAATGACCAAATAATGTTGATCAGTTTACTTCATGTTTCTCGTGCAAATTTTGTATGATTTGTGCAGTTATGACCAAAATTAATAATGCTTATCAATTGACTTCTTGTTTCTCAGACAAATGTTGTATGATTTGTGCATGTATGACCAAAATAATGCTGATCAGTTTCAAACACGTTTCTTGTGCAATTTTGTGCACACATTTATATGCATTGTGTTTATCAATTTTGTAAATATTTTTGTTTCTCTGTTGCATGGTTTATCATGTTGTGAGCTTGACTGGCTGTTATATCTGTGATATCTCACCTGTATCATTACATTGTGTATTGTGTACAGTATTGTCTCTATTTAACGCCTCTGGGGGCTTAAATTTTTTTCAAAGGGGGGGGGGGGGCGCTAATTAGAACTATAAAAATGTGCTATAAATTATGTATATCCAAGGTATAATTCAATTATGAAAATCGTTATTCATTATCATGATTTAATATAATATTTATTATAATCTACAGGATAATATTTTTAATGATTTTTACATTCCTGTAGTGTCATTAATGTTTTTTTTTAAATAGAAATATTTTGGACATTTTGAAATTTTTCTCTTTTTTCCTACAAAATGTGGGGGGGGGGCTAATAAATTAGAGAGAGAGGGCGTTAATTGGAAACAATAGGGTATATAACGTAATTCATATATTGGCCAATTATACAGTTGATAATACTGCTTTTTTTTTTCTGTCTACACTGTAAACATTTCTTAGTCTTACTGGTGGATTCTGATGTATTACCATCTGCAGTTGAGCAGAAATTGCCGTAATTTATAACAAAACATTGTATTGAAAAAAACACTTCTGGATGCTCTGTTCTTTTGAATTATGTCAATTATACATTCTCAAATTCTTCTTTTCATCCTGAATGCAATGTCATTTTTCATGATATTAATTTGTCACTTTTCATGAATCATCAAATGGTTGCAAAAATGTATGGTTGTCACTTTTCATAAATGGTTTCAAAAATATTTTGGTTGTCACTTTTCATGAATGGTTTCAAAGATATTTGGTTGTCATTTTTCATGAATAATTTCAAAGATATTTATTTCAATGATATTTGGTTGTCACTTTTCATGAATGATTTCAAAGATATTTATTTGGGGTCACTTTTCATGAATGGTTTCAAAGATATGTCACATTTCTTAAATAGTTTGAAATTCATAGATATTTGGTAGTCACTTTTTCTGAATAAATAAGTTTCAAGATATTTGGTTGTCATTTTTCCTGAATGGTTTCAAAGATATGTAGTTGTCACTTTTAATGAACAGTTTCAAAGATATGTGTTTGTCACTTTTCATGAATGGTAACATGGATAGTAATTTATCATTTTCACTTTTTAACTTATACATATCATACAAGTCGTGAATGTTCTAGTTCACTTTTCATGAATGATTTTAAGAATGCATGTGTCACTTTTTTATGATTCATATAAAGATTTAAAATGTCACTCCTCATCAATGATAATGTTTCAATTTCATGAATAATGATGCATGTGTGTTTCCAATAATGCATAAGCCACTTTTATGATTCCTGTGTCACTTTTTATGATGGATTTAAAGATTTACAAAGTCACTCTTCATGTATTTTTTATTTATGTACCTGAGTCACTTTTACATATTTTTTTTATATATATACTGTATGTTTCCTGTTTAAAAAAATAATAGAATTTAATGGATGCACAGGTCACTTTTCATGAAAGATTTTGAAGAGTTATATATACAATATTATGTCACTCTTCATGAATGGTTCTAACGATATACTATTCTATCACTTTTAATGAATAAATGGAAGTATCTGTAACTTCCAGAATGTAATTGTGTCACTTTTCATGAATGTATTTGTAGAAATATGGAACTTGTCACTTTTCCTGATTTTATACAGTGATGTAAAATATCACTCTTCAGTAATGATTTTAAAGAACCAATATTGTGTCACTTTTCATGAAGTATTTCAAAGAAATATAGCTGCCACTTCCATGATTGATTTCAAAAAGTTATGTTAAATGTCACTCTCTAGTAGTGATTTTAAAGAACCAATATAAGTGTGTCACTTTTCATGAAGTATTTCAAAGAAATATTGCTGTCACTTCCAAGAATGATTTTCATGAATGTTTCTTAAAAACATTAGTCATGAATGATTTTTCTAAATGTGTGTCACTTTTCGTGAATGATGATACAGATGAATATGTCACTTTTCATATGGACATTTAATTTTTATTCACAGTTCACCGCTCTGTACCTGTGGCAAGGACAGAGGTTTGTGAAGAAGAGCCAACTTCTGCTAGACTTCGATGGCATCGCGCCTATATCCCTCGCTATTATAGTTCTACACCAATTAGTTACAGGTAATAAATGTATATTTATATTATAATTTATTATAACTTTCATGCTGTAGAAATATACAGATATAAAATGTGTATCGAGTGGTCTTCAAATCTTAATCTTGAAACTTCTGAATTTCTTAAATAGAATTGTCCAGCTTGAGGTTATTACTATAAACTTGAGGTTAAGAATTAATTCTATTATAATCTTGAGGTAAGTAATAATTGCCTTATAAACTTGAGGTAAGTATTAATTGTCTTATAAACTTGAGGTTAAGTATAATAACTTTCTTATCAACTTGGGGTTAAGTATTGATTTTCTTATAAACTTGAGGTTTAGTATTGATTGCCTCATAAACTTGAGGTTAGTTATAAATTGCTATATAAACTTGATGATAAGTACTAATTTTCTTATAAAATAGAGGTTAAATTAATATTGATTGCCATATAAACTTGAGGTAAAGTATTGATTGCCATTAACATTGAGGGTTAAGTATTAACTGCCTTATAAACTTGACATTATGTATTTAATGTCTAATAAACTTGAGGTTAAGTATTGATTTTCGTATAAACTTGAGGTTAAGTATTGATGGCCCTATAAACTTAAGATTAAGAATTGATTGAATTTTACATTATATGACAGGTCTTGATAAGTTCTTCCCAAAACATTTTATATTTTCTTATAATTGGCTTCTCAAAAAGCTTGCTTATGGTTATAAAATTCTACCTACATAGACAACTGTGTCCCAGTGTTTGACAATAACAATGTATGAATTATATGCACTAGTTACTACAGTTAATTCATTCCTGGCAGTTTTATTTATCTGTCTCAGTTTTGTATCCTACCAAACAAAAATCACATATGTGCATAGCATGTCAAAAATATGATAGCTAAATTACTGTAGACATTTCTAGCAAATGTTGGTAATAAATGTTTCTTGTCTCAAAAGTGATATTTCTCTGTGAAACCTTGGCATTATATATGATATATGAGAGTGAAATATTAAAGCTGCATGCCTCCAGATGAACCAAAATATTTCAAGAAAATCAAACTTGACAAAAAATGTATGTTATAAGTTCTGTTTGCAATGAATAAAGTATTTTCTTTGTTCATTTCACAATATTTTACTTGTTAATACATTTTCAAAATTTTCATAAAAACTAGCAGGAATTTCGAGGCTTGCTGCTTTAAAGCAAACTATCCATATATTAAGATTTAGAAATATATTACCTTTTGTTGAATTAATTATTATTTTAAAGAAATGTTCTATGTTTAAAAATGCCCTTTCTTTACATATATGATATAAAGTAAATGTTCTTCATTTCAAAAATATTTATATTTAGAAAATTTTATATTTTAAGAAAAAGATCTACTTTTAGAAAACGTTCTATTTTTAGAAAATGTTCTATTTTTAGAAAATGTATTTTTAGAAATGTACTATTAATAGAAATGTTCTATTTTTAGAGTTGAAATGCAGGAAGCAGGGGAAATTAACACAGAATGGAAGTCAGTTGCCACGGATATAAGGACATCAGACTACACGGTGAAGAATATTAGTCCCCGCAAGGACTATAGGTTCAGGATCCGAGCCCAGACTGAAAATGGCGATGTTAGTGACCCCACACCACCTATACAGTTTTATAGAACAAGGGGTAAGTTTCCCATAGCATATGGAAAAGTTGTCATTAATTGTCTTATTTTCAAACTCGGCTTAAATTTTTACACCTTTTATCCTACGCACTGCCCTATTGTGTGTGTGGGGGGTGGGGGAGAAGGGAATGGGTGGAAGGCTTCATTTGACTGGTGCATTACCCAGTGAGTCTTGTTTATCACCAGTTATATCATGAACATTCTTTTAATTCCTTTATTTTGTTTTTTTTTGTGGATATTCATTGTAATTTTATATTTGTTTTTCAGTACCTCTTCTCAAGGACAGTGAGAATGCCCTGGCAGAATTCAAGCCAGTGGAATACAAGGCCATTTTCCTCAAACACCCATACTACGAACAGCTTACAAAATATGGTAAGAAATTATTGGTCTCTGTTATGTTTTGTTAGGTGGTTGAGGAACTGGTTGAGTGTGTTTTGTTGTAAACAAAAAGTGAACTAAGGGAACAGAGCTGGTGTATGTAAAGAGTGAAAAAGGATTAACAAAATGTTCTGGAGTATGAGGGGGTGGTTTTTTGGGAGTATAGATTCAGTGCATTACAAGCAAAACTGAATGCAATCTCTAAACATGCATTTTGAAAGTTGTGGAGTTAATAATATTATTTTACTGGACATAAAAGTTTAAATGAAATTTGTTTCATTTATTATTATATTTAACAAGATATCACTTGAATGCATAAATCATGTTTATAAGAATGTAATAAAATACAATTTGATAGAAAATTTGGTCAATCATTTAACTTAAAGGAAATTGAAGTTTAATTTCGTTTGTCCATGTTATCAAAATTTTTTAAGAAGAATTTTCAAGACATTATCATTATATTAGTGTACAAATAATAGTAACTCACAGTGACGAGTACTTGATAATAAACTTTTACATAAAATCTCAATCAAGTATGGCTCACAAATTTTTTTAATATTTGTTGCAATTCTATTATACTATATTATCATGCAATGATTACTTTTGTTTTGTTACTAAATATAGCACACGATGCAATGCAATCATGATGCAATGTTTATTTCAGTACCACCAACAATGCCTATCCACAAACCAGACATGATCATTATAGACCAAGAGACCATCGAGCTGAGTTGGAGACCCGCCATAGTTGCCGAGGCCATAAGAGGACAGTGTAATCTGACCTACACAATTGAGGTAAGGCATAAACCTTACAGTCCTAGCATTATGGTAATAGTGCTTTTCCTATCCCAAGCAGTATAGAGTCAGGCCAGTCTGTAAATGTGTACAGTCTGAATCTTAGCATTTTAACACTTTTGAAACCCTCAGATTCATATTTGCATGACTGTTTCCGTAAAGCATTAGAAGCTCGTCTTATAGCAATTATTACTTCCCTTAGCCACCATTTTGAGGGTCATTCTGCCTAAGATAAGATAAAAAAAAATCTCATAATTCTATCATCTTCATGAAAATTGATAAAAATCTTACATATTGGTGCTATGATAAAAATGGCTTTCATATGCATAAAATATTTTGACAATTCACCTGAATCAGCTGAATATAGTGATCGAGTTTTTCATATTTTGTCAATAATATTATATAGGATATTTGCTATTGCATGTTTGAAAAACAAGGCTGTAATAGATATTAATGACAAATTTCTATTAGAACACTGCTTACATGGAGGGCGAAAAATGCTTGCTTCAGAACTTAGACTTTTACAAACTTCTCTACCTACAATTCCAATGTTACACAAAAAAATGGCATCTGGTGTTGAACATGACATATTTTGATCACTGCTTTTCTAATGTAATGCAAACCATTTTTACAGGTACGATGCCCGCCAAGCTTTGAGTGGAGACAGTTGGTAACGGGATTGAGGGTTTGCAGCCATACGGTACAGAAGCTTCATCCCCGTATAGATTACATCTTCAGGGTTCGAGCCTGGAACGAGTATGGTTGCTCAGATGCCGGCCTACCAGTCTCTCTCTACAGACCAGCAGGTTGGTTTTATAGAATATTTTACCTTATTTCGATGTGAATTTTTCAATAGATAGGTATCTTTGTGGCTGAGTGGATAAAGGCCTTTAACTACAAATCACTTGCTCTTCACTGCTGTAGGTTCGAATCCCACCACTACACTAGTGTAATACCACATTTATTTGACGAAGACTAAAGCTGTTGCAGTCACCTATTTGTGGGCATTCAAATGGGCATCCCTGTGTTAAGATTTTACATGTAAGTCATCTCAATAACTACTGAAGGGATGCCAGGGGAGGTAATTATTGCTATGTCTATATAAGAGACAATTAGGCTACTTTTGGTTCCAGCATCCTAAGGGGCATAACAGGTAAAGGCCTTACTCTAAGGATGAATAGTTTAACATCTTATTGCAGTTAGTTCAACAAGCACCTGTCTACGTTATAATGTAGATTATTTTATATAAGGATTACATGTTTATTGCAATTGCTTTCAGAAATAGCATCAAGTGGCTTTGTGCAAAATAACTTCTTAATATTGTTATGTTTTTGTTAGTAAATCATCATTTCTGAGAGCCATACCTTCTAGATTAATTAACATTCTGTGTAGTCTGCAGGAGCTGAAATATTTGTGTAGCATGAGAATACTCATGTGTGGGAATAACGATGTTGAAAAAACCTTCATGTTTGAAGGAATATTCACTGAGTAAATACCAGAGATAGAATTTGTCTGTATTAACCATTAGTCATTTTTATAAAGACAAATTTGCTTTTAATTTGTTCAGGTGTAATTAGTAGAAGTACAAAGAAGTACATGTTTTTGTGCATGCAACATACAGTAAAACCTTGCTAGAGCAACCTCTAGCTGGACTGGGCAACAATTATATAGTAAAACCTTGCTAGAGCAAAACTCTAGCTGGACTGGGCAACAATGATACAGTAAAAACCTTGCTAGGGCAACCTCTAGCTGGACTGGGCAACAATTATACAGTAAAACCTTGTTAGAGCAACCTCTAGCTGGGCATGGCAACAATTATACAGTAAAACCTTGTTAGAGCAACCTCTAGCTGGACTGGGCAACAATAATACAGTAAAACCTTGTAAGAGCAACCTCTAGCTGGACTTGGCAACAATTATACAGTAAAACTTTGCTATAGCAACCTCTAGCTGAACTGGGCAACAATTATACAGTAAAACTTTGTTAGAGCAACCTCTAGCTGAACTTGGCAACAATTATACAGTAAAACTTTGTTAGAGCAACCTCAAGCTGGACTTGGTAACAATTATACTGTAAAACCTTGTAAGAGCAACCCCTAGCTGACTGGGCAACAATTATACTGCGAAACCTTGCTAGAACAACCTCTAGCTGGACTGGGCAACAATTATACAGTAAAAATTTGCTAGAGCAACCCCTAGCTGAACTGGGCAACAATTATACAGTAAAACTTTGTTAGAGCAACCCCTAGCTGGACTGGGCAACAATTATACTGTAAAACCTTGCTAGAGCAACCTCTAGCTGGACTGGGCAACAATTATACAGTAAAACTTTGCTAGAGCAACCTCTAGCTGAACTGGGCAACAATTATACAGTAAAACATTGTTAGAGCAACCTCAAGCTGGACTGGGCAACAATTATACAGTAAAACCTTGTTAGAGCAACCTCTAGCTGGACTGGGCAACAATTATACTGTAAAACCTTGCTAGAGCAACCTCTAGCTGGGCTGGGCAACAAATATACAGTAAAATCTTGAGAGATCAACCACTTGAGCTAAAACCTTGCAAAATGAACCACTTAAGCTAGACTGTAAAAGCTTGATAAGACAACATCAGTACAGTAGAATCTTAATTCTATATCCACCATTCAATTAAACATTGTTAAAACAGTCATTATACTGTAGAACTTTGCTTAAACAAGCATTAGACAGTACAATTTTTAAACAACAACTTCACAAAAGTTTAATTATTATTACATTTCAGTCATAATGAAAATCTATGTTAGGACAATCACCATACAGTTAAACCATGTAAAAACATGAACCATACAGTAACTCTCCATAAAACTGGCCCACAGTAAAGCATGTTGGCATTTTTACAATACAGGCTAACCCATCCAAATATCCCTTTTACCTCAGGAGTTCAAATTGTATAAATGAATATGAAGCATAGTCAAATAAATTGAATTCAAATGTTATGCCCATATTATTGCGTAAATACAAATGTTATGCCCATGTTACTGTGTAATTACAAATATTATTCCCATATTACATTATGTGTTTTGTATATGCAAATTTTATGCCAATATTATTGTGTATTTGCAAATTTTATGCCAATATTATTGTGTATATGCAAATTGTAGGCCAATATTAAGGTGTACATGCAAATTTTAGGCCAATATCAATGTATATTTGCAAATTTTATGCCCATATTAAAGTATATATGCAAATGCTCTGCCCATATTATTGTATATATGCAACTTTATGCCAATATTATTGTGTATTTGCGAATTATATGACCCTAGAATTATGTTTGAAAAAAATTATATACAAATTTCATTGTATGTCAATTTTTATGTCTATATTTTGTACACGGTATATACATGTAGAACACACGTACAGTATGCACATATAATATTATGTTTTTTCAGTGTATAAAATAGAGGGTGAAGACTTTGACGATGAGGAGTTTGAAAAGGAGTGGGAGAGAAAATATGGAACAAAAGGTTTGTTTACAGCTTGTAATTCTGATGCCTTAATAAAAAAAATACAGTTAACCCCGTTTTTTCTGATATTTCTAAATTGGTAATTACTGGTGAGTTATCAAGGAAAGCATGTGAGGTTAATTGACTGATGAGACATGTCCGAAAAAATGTGTTAAAATTGTTAAAAACCAGAAAACAATACCAAACAAAATTTTAATATACGATGTATTTATTACAATGTAGAACAAAAAACAAAGAAGAAATCTGTGTATAAAAATAATATCTACTTTGTCTCATAATAATATATAGAAAGAAAAAATCAAATTTTAGGGTATTGAATTTAATTAAGCCTTGAAAATGAAAACTTGTTAACGGAAATCAAAATATTTTTCTGGCATTTTCATCCAATGGATGCCATGCTTTGAACTAATCAAGATAATGAAGATTTAAAAGTGGTTAATGTTGCTGAATTTGTTGCACTTGTCCCATTCTACTGAGAGTTTGAATACCGCCTTGAAATTGATCCCTTCATTTTTTAGGGAACTCTCCAGGTAGCTTAACAAAGGTTGGTCAAGTGCTACTCTGCTGCCTTCTGTTGCCTGTAATAATGCACAGAGGGTTACCGGTATCTTAAAGACACATAATAATACATTGTATATGCTTCAGAAACAAATAAATTTTTACTATAGCGCAAAATTATGATGTTTAGGAATGGTAACATAATGGTTTTAGAGCATGTTAAATGCTTGTAACCTGAAGAAAGTAGGGCTTAAAGTGAAATAAATTGTCATTAAAGAAGCAAAATGGGCCTTTAAGTCTTACTCCATCACTGAAGCTATAAAGTTGCCATATGACCTTCACTATGTAAGTGTGTCTTAAAACAAAACATTTAAACTGTACATACAAGTTATGTATTGTATTTATTTTACGACAACTAATATTTGTAAAAAAATTACATTATCTCATGTGAAAAACAACTTTTCTTATAGAAATATAGAACAAATCTTGCGACATTTTTAAAAACAGGGTTAACTGTATTTAGCCAAATCTAAGCATAAGTTGACTCCTTTATATAATTATGTCCTTCTTTGCCATTTCCATTTACTCCTATTTCATTTTATTATATCACATTTTGATTTCAATTCTTTTACATAAATTGTTTTAGAATAATGGATATGTAATGACAGAACATTTTGTTTCAAATCTATACAGGTAAATAAGATACTATTGTTTGGTCATCTATTCATGTAAATAAGATAATTTTGTTTGGTCATCTATTCATGTAAATAAGATACTTTTGTTTGGTCATCTATTCATGTAAATAAGATACTTTTGTTTCAAATCTATTGAAGTATTCATGTAAAAAGAAACTTTTGTTTGGTCATTATAAACAAAACAGAATTTTGTTGGCAGACTGTATAATGCGTCAGACTCATTAATCTAAGTATTGCTGGCCATGTGGGTTCAAACCCTGTTAGAGGCAAGTCGTTGTTTCCTAGAGCATGAAACTTTACATTCAGTGCTAAGTACTGGTTGTACCCAGGAACAGATTCAAGAGTGTCCCAATAAGCTGCTTCTAACACAATATTGCACCAAAAAAATTGTATACTTCTAAAAAAATTTAACTGACTTTGTTTGCAGCTAGAACAAATCTTTACAATATTTTAATAAATGAATTTGATTTTCTTTATAAGTCTTAAAGGCATTTCCTACATAAGTGCCATTTCTTTACAAAGGCAGAGAAGAAAAATTTGAATTTATTAAGAGCTGAAAATTTTCATAAGGAATATAATGAATTAAGATCCTCATGATTAGCTGATCTCAGTAAAAATTTCAAATTGTATGTTTAAAGGCTTTTGGACATTTGAGTTGAGTTCCTTTAAAGAATGAGGAACCTAAACACAAATGCATTAAAATAAAACACTGTCATTACAAATCTTATTTTATTTTATTTTATTTTATGAAAACCACCTTTTATTCAACTATTATGTATAAATAAACCAGTATGACCTTTTCATTATTTTTTTCCTGTTATAATTTAAACATGTATAAAAAAATTTTTTCATAGCTACATGTATTACCCAAAGTTTTCCACAATATCAACAATTTTATGTTTTTCTGAGTCTTATTTGTTTGTTTCGACCATGTGTTATACTGTATACAATGTTTGACCTTATTTGTGTTTGTGACCTCTTTGTTTTGCATAAATGTTAATTTTTAGATATTGAGAAACTCCTACAAGAAGGTAATTTCAAGAATAGAAGTGTTTTGTTTTACATTTCATGAATTAAATGGAAACAGTAATGTCCAAAGAAATTTTATCACCTTTAATATCTTTCAATTATTGCTCTTCAAAAAGTATTAGGTATTTATTTTTAAATATGTTCTATGCCTGCAGGTTATGTTTTTTTACAACAACTAGTACCCTAAATGGTTTTATATAGGGCATATCTAAAACAATGCTACCGTATGTAACTTGGCCCTGGCATTTTGAAAAGTATATTTAAAATACAGTAAATGCTAAACTTACCATTCCTGAATTATTCATAGAATCAAAATCTTCATGTTTACCAATCAATATACAAAAGTACTTTTTCAGTTGAATTTTTTACAAATATTTAAGAAATAAAATATCACATATTTTACATTGAAATTTTTTGGTGTTTTTTTAAAAGAATTAAATTTAAACTGAATTTTTGATAAATTTTTGAAAAAAAAATTTCTTGGGACATTTACTGTTTTACTAAGCAAATTTTAAAATTTTTTGTAAAAGTTTTTGTAAAAATTTTACCCAAATTTTTTTTTTTTCTTCGGCCAACTCAAGGGAATTAGACTACTAAATTCATCTGGAAACTTCCAGTTATTTTGGGGGAATTTTTACTACTAAAATTTAAAAATTTTGTTAGTCTTGGGAATTTGTACTAAATAAATCCATCTGGGGTATTTTTTTAGACGGCAAAATTTACAAACTTAAATTTACCTCCCCCCCCCCCCCGGGGGGGAAAATTCTTTGAATTAAAAAAATTTAACCCCCTAAAATCATCTTTCAGTCTTGGGCCCAAGAGACCCCTTTTTAAAATTTTTATTCTCACTTTCAAATTTTGCCAAAAATATAGAACTTTAAAATTTTCATCATTTCAACAGAAATACTAATTAAAAATTTTATCAATTTTTTTCCATTTCCCCTAATGAAAAAAAATTTCCCCCAATCAGGGGGGTAGATTTTTTTTTTGTTTCGAAGCCCCCCCCAAAAACAGGGGGGGAGTCATAAAGTTAAATTTTATGTGGAAAATTCCAATTTTAAAAAGGCTAATTATATGAAATTTAAATTTTTAAATTTGATCATTTTTCGGGATACTGTAATAATAATTTTGAATTGGTAAAAATTTTTTATTTCCTTTTTTTTCCATAGAAATTTTAAATAAAAAAAATTTTTAGAAAAATTAAAAAAATAATAAAAAATATTTTTTCAATTTTTATGGTTATTTTTTTTCAAGGTTTGTGGTTTTGGGAAATTATTTAATTACCTTAAAAAACCTTTTTACAAAAGTTTTTTAAAAATTTTTTTCAAAAAAATTAAAGACAGTGCTGATGATAACATTACATCTATTTATTAATACTTTAAAATCCAAAACTGTCAGGAGTTATCTTATCTTTGATTATGAAATGGATCTTATCTCATAAGTCAAAGTCAACCCACAATAGTTGCAAACAGAATTTCAACTTTTAGAATTTTTTAAGGTCAGCAATATGGGCTTGAATTTTTAAGGTGGTAGCCTGGATTCAAAGCCACTTTCTCCTCATCGCTGCGGGTTCAAACCCCCATCTGCCGCATCAGTGTCTTTGATTCCTTCATGTGTGTCCATTATAAGTCACAGAGAAAGTAGGTGGTTCCAACTCAGTGTGCCTAAAATTTATGCACAAAGACGTCTTTCTCCACCAGTAAAGTTAAAGGAAGTTGCCATGCAAACTTTACAGTTGCTGAGTGTGACTTGAGAAACCTAACAAAACTTGATTAACTACCATCAATATAGAGCCATACAGTCCTCTCTTGAGTTTGTATGACTTAAATCTTAACTGCCTTAGTCATCGATTGTTATATAACTAAAGGTATCTCTTTCCTGGTACATGCTAATAGTTATGTTTTTGTTTTTTCTTTTGTTGTAAACATGTATGTCAATGTTAAATTGATGTCTGTGTGAAATTAATAAATAACTGTCAATGCAAAATAAAGCTTGATATTGATTTTACAATATCAATGAGATTAGATTAATCTTTTATCCTGTGATTTACTGCAGGAAATATATTAAGACCCACAACATTTTTTCTTTAAAAACCATTAGTCCAGGGGAGAGGAAGACTGAATGTAAAATTAAGAGCAAGTTACCAAAGAGTTTGCCCCTTTTGAAGAGTTAAGCTGGAAGTTTTTGCTTATGATTGTCTGCAGTTGCTGTTTTTTTTTTTACTATTTAAGAAATTACCTTTAAAGGATTGACATTTTATACAGGTTAGGTTAAATTATGGAGTTACAAATGAGTACTTTTAGATTTACCTTTCATGCAGATGTTAAAAGTTTTTTCCTGTGCAAAAATTCATTACAATACTTTTTTGTAAGTGAATAACTTGACTGTTTGAGTGATTTTTTTTTTTTCTTGCATATTATAACAGCAGTAAATTTTCATGCATCTTTATATTGTAAAGTTTTAGATGAATAATTAATGTAACTTCAGGAACATTTTAAAAAAAATGGAAGAAATATTTCCTTTTTTGCATCGGAAGCTATTTTTTGTGACATTTGCAGTGCTGTTTTAATTGTTTGTTTTTCTCCAATAAAAAAGAAAAAAAGTGTACAATTAATAATCAACACAAAGATTTTAAAAAGTAGGTTTTTTTCTTCTTGTATGAATGTCTTTATTTGTTACTCTTCAGTTGAAAGTCAAAAATGGTGTGTGTTTTTTAAAGTTGTAGATTTATTTCAAACAATAAAGAATAAAATGTTTGCTTTGTTTTTTTCATAGATCATTTTAATCTTTACCAAATTACTGAAAAAAACTTCTTATATCAGTTTTCTCGACATGATTTTCATTGTTATTATTTTTTTTACGATTTACAGTGCCGCCAAAGTTTACCAAAAATTGACACTCCGCGGATTATGTGACTCAGACCAGTGACTCCATTTTGGTTTACCTTGGTTGCCGGCCAGAATACCGGCGATACGCCACACAGACCAACATTAGCTATGTTGTTGAAATTCAAGGTAATACCAGAGTTTATTTTGGTATCTAGAGTCAAAGAGCTAATGCAACTTGTCAATTACATGTATGACCACGACCCTCCACACCTTAGTAAGTTGTTGACAATATTAGGGGTAAATTAGTCAAAAATTTTTTCTTAGGGAAAGGGGGCCCCCTTGGGGGCCCGGAAAAACCGGGGCCCCTTTCCCAAAAATACGGAATTCCAGACATCCCGAACATCCGGGATGTTTTGGATTTGGTTTTTTTTTATTTTTTTTCAAATTTTGCCCCGTCCCCTTTCATTGCCAGATTATATTTTTTAATAGCCTCAAAAATTTCAAGGGAAAAAAGTCAAAATTTGGGAAAATGGCCAGGGGGATTGTATTTTATTTTATCACCCGGGCATGGGTTTTTTTAAAATTTTTAATATAAAATTTTATACAAAAATAATGAAGATGAAGAAAATTAGTTTATTGTTCA